TCTTATGAGGAAACAATCTACCTCCTATGATTAGATTGTTTATGGCACAAAATTCTAGCATCCTACTTCCGTGTTTTCCCATCACTTCTTCTTTACCTTTCCAGCATCCTATGTAAATATCTTTTCTTGTTTCTAATATTCCCCCTATATATTTAAATTTTCTTTTTTCCTTTTTTGATTTTTTATTTTCCTTATTACTTTTATTGTAGATCCAAGCTTTTTCCGTCATCTTTATTTCCTGTCCTTCCAATCTGTATTACTTTTTTTCGTTTTTTGCATCATTATTTCCATTTTCTTCTTCGACTTTTTTGGCCCTTATTAGTTTTTCTTCTTTTTTGTCCTACCTACATGTCTCTCCATTAATAATGATTTTTTGATATTGAACTTTGCACATTTTTCCTCTTTCTTTCTCTTCTCTTGCTGTGTCCCTTGGATATTTTTGAATTTCCCTTTCCTTTACTGTTAATTCAGAATCTATAAAAATGTTTGTGCCTTTCAGTTTTTGTTTCTCTTTAAGAATGTTTGATTTTTCTTCCCAGCTTTCAGTTTCTGCGATTATTGTCTTTTCGTTTACTTTGTAGGCTGCTCTAAGTTTTATTTTTATACCTAGTTTTTTATTAATAAATTGTCTTCACCGGTTTTTCATGCGATTCTATGTTCAGTCCCGAAATAACCAGTTTGTTTCTTGTTTTATCTTTTTCCAATCGCTCTAGTCTGGCTTCAGTTTCCTTTATTTTGTTTATTAAATCTTGTTTTTCACTATTCCATTGTTCTTTCATTGTATTAATTTCATCTCCATTTTTTTCATTTCTTTATTATTTATTTTTAATTCCACGCTCATGGTTTTTATCTCCTTTTGCACTTGCAAGAGTATTTCCTTTATTTCTTCCATTTCCTTTCCTTTAGCTTTTACTGCAGTACTTTGTATTGGATTTTTTGTATTTAAGTTGCTCTTTTTTACAATTTTTTCTTCCTCTTCTAATGAACTATCGTGTTCAGTAGTTCCTCTTTTCATGTGTAATCTCAAATGTAATCTGTTTTGCCTATCTTAAGTATGGACTCGGTTTGAGTGCGGGGTAGAGTTCGCCACTGACCTACTATGTTCAGCCAGCAACCTTAACCTCGCCTATCTTACCTTTGTCCTCCCACTTATAGATGGCGCTTTTTCTTGTTGCACTTTAATAGTCTCTGGTATTTTGGTTTTAGGTTATATTCGTGAATTAATTATAATGGACTTAATTGGCATAAAACTCACTTTTTCTTTTGTTTTATTTTTGGAACGTCTTCCCTTAGTTGTTTTCTTAAACTTGATTTAAAGTTTCCTCTTTCAGACAGCTTGATAATCCACGACGAAGGCACTATAATTACAGCATGTACACCTTGTTACACTCCACCACTGGATTTTATTGGAAAATCATCAGATTTCTTATTCAATTTAGAAGCAAAACTTGTGTGTTAACCTTTCATAAGATCAGTGGTTTCGGAGATATTTGACTTTAAAATTTCAAAATCACCGAGTACACGGAATTTTATCACTATATTTTATTTTAAATCGGTAACTTGGTAACAACTATGCCACGTTATCAGTTTAGCAACATCGAATATGCAGATATTCATTATGTGTATGGACTATGTGATGGAAATGCGCTAGCGGCAGTTAGGGAGTACCAAAGACGTTTTCCAAGAAAATAATACCCAACGTCCAAGTTTTCATCGACTCTCACCAGAGGTTTCGAGACTTTGGACTACGAAATAATAATGAACAAAATGTACGTGAACCAAGATTAAGATGACGAAATAGAAATAGGATACTGGGAACTTTTCAAAATGATCCAGGGTTGAGCTCCCGGAAAGCTGCTTTAAGACTGAATACCTCAAAGTCAAATATTCTAAGAGTTCTTCATGACGACCACTAGAAACCTTATCATTACCGCCCGGTTCAAAATCTTCTTCCTTGAGATGCAGAGAGACGGATGGCATTTTGTAGGTGGGTCCTGGAATCAGCAGAAGAAGAGCCCAATTTTGTTTCACAATCTCCATGCTTGGGCACAGGATAACCCAAAAGCAATACGACAGAAGTGCTTTCAACAACAAACTCGGATGCTGGGGGAATGCATTTTGAAAATCTGTTATAATTTGTTACAAGCTACTGTTACTGTTATAATTTGTTACCATGTTACCGATTCAAGATAAAATATTATAAAAATAAACTAGCGTCTAGGAGTCATCGTGCAGTTGTTACTGATCCCGTCATATTTTTAGGTTGTTTTATTGAAACGTTGATTGAGAATTACAATCAACGTTTGTAATTAATAATTTAATTTTATTATAATACAAAATTAAACCAACCCAAAAACCACTCTATTGAAAGCGATTATTCCATTATTCCATTGGTAAATTTTTATTGGCCCAATACAATCGTTCTGAAAAAAAATCATTTTTTATTAATAAAATAATAACAAAAGTTCCGTGTACACAGTGTTTTTGAAATTTTAAACTGAAATATCTCCGAAACCACTGATCTGATAAAAAATTAACATACAAGATTTGCTTTTACATAAAAATAAATCTGATGATTTTCTAATAAAATCCAGTGGCGTCGAAAATATGAGGGTAAAAAGGGGAATACCTCCAAAATCTCCGCCACTGGGCCTTTTGTAGTAAATTTTCATTATATTATCGACGAAAGCTTAACCCACACAAAATTTGAGAAGAATCGGTTTAATGGTTTAAAAATTATTTTAAAGGACTATATCTCCGTTAGTATGCATTTGAAAAAAATGGTTTTGGGTCGTTTTTATTGTTTTTTCAGGCTCTATCGACCATTAAAATTTTTCAGATTAATCCTGGACCACCCTGTATAACAATAGATATTTGGAAAATTTTTAAATTAAAAAAAAAATTACAAAGAAGTCGTGCACACAAAATTTATAAAAAAAAAAAGAAATGAAATTTACAAACGAAATTAATTAAGTATACCTACTGAGAATATTTATTATTAAGAAAACAAAAGAGATTTTTTTAAATGTGTGTAAACTATAGGTATTAAAGAATTCTTTATTAATAAACAATTTTTATAATAATATTAAAATATGGTCCTGTTATTGTGTTTCAGACAAATAACTTTGATATATTAATTGTTAACAGTTGCAATATGCAGTACTGCTTGCCTATGATAAGTAGGCATCTACTATAATGTAGTCGAAATCTACTTATTATGGGCAACCACTATTGCATGATGTATCACTGATACATCTCGCTTATGGGGCACTATTCATTAAGTATATAAGTATATATGTTTGCACTGGTTGCATTGCAAATTGAGATTCCAACCTCGGCAAATATATGCGCCAGGAATCGTAGCCCACGATAAAATTTAGCTTATTTACTGGAATTCTTTGTTGGAGGCTCCAACTTGGAGACAGGATTGTTCCGTTAGGACCGTCACGGAATGTTCGTGGCATAGATAAACAAACACAAGAGAGTGCCCGGCGAGCACTGACCGCTTGCTTGTTAAGAGTGGGAAACATCATTATGGTGGCGACTCTAGTGGCTACCGGAAAAACTAACTTGAAGCGCGGCACATTCAAATTTAAATATCTATAATGATTTCTATTAAAAATAATAATTTAGATGGAAATAAAGCAACTTCCAACATTAAAACATATTTTTAATTAACATTAACACATAGTTAAACAAATATATAACATACTTTATATAAAACAACTTTCATTAAAAAATATAACCCATAGTTAAACATATTTATAACATATCTATATTTACCGAGATATTTACATTATCACAGCCAGTCAGGAACTATTTTTTTGATATCAGCATTGATTAAAGATGTTGCACAGCATTAATTGAAACAACATTTAATTGATTGATTGATTAATTAATTGCTTGAACGGTTGATCAACGTTTTCAGTCTAACTATTTTCAAGATTTATCTTCAGATTGGATGAAAAATCCCAATCTCATGATTGGAACATACTTGAATTTTTTTTCACAACCAATAGAGCTAGTGCTGTTTAGAATTCTAAAACAATTTTATTTGTAAAGTAATTATTTTTTTAAAGTTTCATTACATGATTAATTAATCACTCCATGTAGACTAATTGTCTGCACCTTGGAAATGTATTTCAAGCACGGTAGCCAAAGATAATAAAACAGTTCGTTTTTCGATAGCGTCAATATAAAATAACAGACAAGTAAAAAGTAAGGATATGTCACACTGTTACCATAGACAACAAAACAATCATTATAGATATTTAAATTTAAATGTGCCGCGCTTTAAGGTAGTTTTTCCGGTAGCCACTAGAGTCGCCACCGTAAGGATGTTTCCCACTTCTAATAAGCAATCAGGCACTCTCTTGTGTTTGTTTATCTATGCCCTCTGCTTAGCAGAGCCTGCTTTGCGAGGCCAAAGCCGCTGAACCAGGTTCAGCGGCTTTGGCCGGGTGGGTTCAGTGAACCCACAATTTACTTATTTGAAATAGGGAACTGAACTCAGTTCAGTGAGCTGTTTTACTATCCACTTATGTCCCATGATGAAAAATAAGGAGGGGGGCTTCGTCATTCTGATGTCATATCTATTACGTAATATTTATGTCACATTTATTACGTAAGAATCTAATGTAAGGAAGTATGAAATAATGACTCTTATATGACTTATGTAATGGGATGATGTCAGTGTTAGGTCATATTTATTACGTCATAGTCTGACATAAGAAGGTGTGAAATAATGACTCTTATATGACTCAGGTGTAAACTATATCGTAAGCGTGACCTGACATGACGTCCTATTTACGTAATTGTGTTTACTGGGTATGACGTCAAGTTTAGGTTTACAGGTAGTAATGTTTACAAATTTAATTTTTTTTTAATTATTACTAATACCAACGAGTTAAAAACATAGGGTCATAAAACATTTTTAATCAGACCCTGCAGGGTCTACCATATGTAGTGTAGTCAAATAATTGTAGTATTTTTAATTTAAGGTAAAAGAAGATGTCTTGGAGAAACACTAGCTAGAAATTGTATTTTCACATTTTTTACTGAAATAATGAGTAAATACTATATTTCTTTACTGCCTGGTTCCGATACACCCACTGGACTACCAATTCCAGGAATAACACTATCACCTGAAAAATATAATGCATTGTTTACTAAAAAATATTCTTAGTTGAATTTAAAAAGTTTTAATTAAAAACTATTTGTTATTTTTTGTTTTAATTATAATACAGCATGTAACCTATGGTATATAAAGTCTTTATAGATAAAACAGGCGGGTTAAGCCCATAGCTTGATTATTTATTTCCATTACTTTATATTTAGCCTTTTACATCCAAGAATATTATTTTCTTAAAAGTCTTTCAATATCTACTTCTTCCCTCCACATTTTTCTTGTTTTGTTTTGCCTTTCGCCACCTTTCTTTAAATATTGTTGGCCAATATATTGTTCTCAATCCTTTCCAATTATCCCATCCACTGAATTCTTCTTAAATTTACTACTTTTACAATTTGATTACCTTGTCGCATCCATACAATACCGTAGGTAACTTTCAGGTTTGGGGATAACTCTTTAACGAGTACTATTTTTTTTCTTTGTACAATTTAAAATTTTTAACTTTTATATACATACAATTTATTACTCCTTCAAATATAATATTTCGTTTAAAAGTTGTGTCCCATTTATGTGTCACCGAATAAATTTCTATGCATTTATTTTTTTGTTATTTATCCTCAGAGTGAGTTTCAGAATCAAAGTCGATGGAATGTGTCACCTTTCATGATTTTCAGCGCCAAAGAAGTGTTTTTCAGGATGTATTCGGCTGAATTTCAGGATTTTTTTTAGATTTTCTATGACGAAGAGGTCCTTATTAGGATGTCTTCAGCTGAAATTTTAGGATGTCTTTAGCTGAAGGTTCTTTTTCCTGAAAGATAAGGACCTCTCGAAGGTCCCGATAAAAGTGGTTGGTACTACTGCTAACTATATTTAGGTTGGTACTACCAACTTGGTAGTAACTAAATTTTGGTTGGTCCTACTATAAAGTCAGTGTTGTTCCCAGCGAAAAAAAAAAGCGTAACAGATTTTACAGAAAAAAGTAATAGATCCCTATAAAATGTAATAGATCGCCATTTTTGAACTACCTATCATTATAAAAATAAGGAAATTTGTTATTTCATAAAGGTAAAGAGGGGGGGATTTTTAAAACAATAAAACATCCAAAGACATTATGCATGTTTTGTGAATAAAGATTTTATTTAAATATTTGTTAACAAAACACGTTCAACTATGGGTTATTTTATTTATAACTTATTTTTTATAATATAATGATAAGTTTTTATTTTATGTATAGTGCAATAAAACACTGTCAACTTAATGTGTTTTATAAAATCATATTTACGATATTTAGATACTATAAACAAAATGTAACCAAGAGGAAATGCGACGTGAGCAAGTTTCATTGTGTTTTTAAAAGACCACACAAGCCGGGTCTACAATTGTCGCAGAACGCAGATCGCAGAACGTGCGCAAAGCACCCAGCGACGTTGCGATGGGGCAAGGTCACACGTCGCAGAAAGTTAATTCATCTTCATAATGGACGTCTTTCGCAGGCTTTTATGTTAGCCAATCATAGAGCGCTAGAATCTATCTGTCTCTGTGCTCTCTTTCTTTCAATAATCAATACTTTTATTTAGTTCCTTTTCCTATTTCGCGGTTATTTTTAAATTTTTGGTGTAATTCTCAGAAATTATTCGAAAAACGTAATTGTCCAAATTTAAAATAATTTTCAATATTTTCTAAGAACACTACACTCGAAAACAAATACTAAAGACATAAAAATAAAAACTGTTGATATATGTGAAACACAGATTATAAAGGTTGGTGTGAAATACTCAACCCAGTGTCACCAACACTTTACTTTTTATTCCCTAAAAATTTGCATTTTTTCATTTATATTATATATATAATATACAAATATAATTATATATAAACTCTTAAACATTTTTTACCTAAAAATAAACCCCAAGCAGTTTTTTAGAGATAGGGATCCATCTATATCTCTGTTTTTTTCACTAAATTTAGGGGAAACACTTCTACGTTGGCCACACTGTGGTTATAAAGAAAACAATTGCTCTGATTGGTCAATAAAAGCACATCGCGCGACAATTGTAGACAGCTCACATAACAACGACGTGTGACCTTGCTCCATCGCAACGTGGATGGGTGCTTTGCGCATGCTTACGTTCTGCGATCTGCGTTCTGCGACAATTGTAGACCCGGCTTCATAAAAAAAAACGAAAAACAGTTAAATAAAAGAATTTATTTAAAATAACATTATTTAAAAAATATCAACTTTAAAAAAACAAAAAAAATACCACAAAAACTTGAATAAACCATATAACTAAAGGGTTGAAACACAATAATTTAATATTTATATGTATTCAGTCAAATAACAAGCAAAACCAATTGACCATATGCAAGGAATGCGGTCGATGTTGCCAATGGTAAAAAAATAAAATTCCCTATTGGGAACATTCAATTATATTACGTTGGCTACGTTGAAACAAACACAAACTAAATTAATTTCCATCTTTTTTTTTAATAATAATAAATAATAATAATTCCCACATTTGAAATTCGCACCTTAATTTATTATACAACATTAGAACCATTAGAACTACCTTCTTTATCTCTGGGAACTACTAGAATGTATGTCAGTTTGTGCGGGAAATTCAAAATTTCAGTCTAGCCAACGTAATATAATTGAATGTTCCCAATAGGGAATTTTATTTTTTTACCATTGGCAACATCGACCGCATTCCTTGCATTGATAACCGATAAACAAAAGAATACATATAAAAATATTGGTAATGTTTGATCGTAAGTAAATAGGCGTGAAGTTGCAACTTTATGTTGTAGTGTTTTAAAACCAATTGACCATATGCAAGGAATGCGGTCGATGTTGCCAATGGTAAAAAAATAAAATTCCCTATTGGGAACATTCAATTATATTACGTTGGCTATATTGAAAATTTGAATTTCCCGCACAAACTAAATTAATTTCCATCTTTTTTTTTAATAATAATAAATAATAATTATCCCCACATTTAAAATTCGCACCTTAATTTATTATACAACATTGGAACTACCTTCTTTATCTCTGGGAACTACTAGAATGTATGTCAGTTTGTGCGGAAATTCAAAATTTCAGTGTAGCCAACGTAAACTTGGAGTTTATCTAGAGTGCACTCTTGCGAGTTTTCGAACGTGCTCCAGAATTGCCACTTTTGGCATTAAGCTTAATTTATAGATTGCCTTCCTTCCTTCCTCCCATAGAGAAGATGAATAATACAAAAACCGTTGTGCTGTTTAAAGATTCCCGTATTGTTCATCTTTTACGCACAGTGGGCCTGAACCAAAAAAAGGTTGCATGGAAATGACACCAAAATCGGTTGGGATTGAACCGGGGCCGCGGTGGTTTGGAGCCGTATCGGTTCTCTGACTGATTGTGCTACAATCGCTATATTGGTTATATGGTTTCTACTGATGAAAGTATTAAAACTTGCAAAAGATGTTCTAAAGCACCTAAAGTATTTGTAAAATGCATTAAGTGTGAAGCAATTTTTCACCCCAGCTGTGCTGAATCTAAATAGGTTAATGTTATTAATGAAAAGGAGATTCTATGTTGTGAAAACAGTGAATAAAATTCTTCTCTAGAAAATCCTAAAATTATGCCAGTCAAAAAATAACCATAAATTCTTTTAATGAATTAAATAATGATCATTAACAATACCAGCAATAACAAAAATAATAAGGGTTTTGAAAATCAAAAGTCTTCTATAAAAACAAAAATAAATAAAGAACAAAATACAGATAAAAACAAAAGTTCCAACAGTGTAAATAATAAAAATATTGCTCCATAGTTCAAATTGACAGTAGACTGCAATAACTTTGAAAAAATAATTAAGCCTGAGCTTTGGCCTCAGGGAACATACTTGGGAAGGTTTTTTTACCCCAGAGTAAAGACCAAACCAACGCCATAAAAGCTCTTGCAAAAAAACTTAAAGAACTACAAAACGATGTTGTAACATCAAAATTTGACATAATTTGTTTAACAGAAACATCGTTAAAAGAAAAAATACTGCAGAACTAAACCTAACATCTTATAATGCTTTTTTCAGAGCCTATCTTGTTTCGTTGTCCCGAAGTTCATCCAAAAAGGCTTGAACCGCTAATCGTTCCATAACGGTCGTTGGAGTAGCTGGATATGCTAGTCTAACCAAGCGTGCAATATCAGCCTCGAAGTCTCGTTTGATTTCTGGCAGCGGTTCTTAAGTTGGGAATGGTAGATATGTTCCAAATGTGTCTTGCCATATCGCAGTTCCAGATGTTTCACCAACGCCTCGTAATCTTCTTATTCGTTGGGAGAAAGTGTTTGCAAGATCTCCGTTGCATCTCCACGTAAAGCAAAAGTCAATTCTGTAGCTTTTTCTTCTGGTAGCCAGCCATTTGCTTTTTCTGCTACCTCAAACTGACAGATGTAGTTGGTCCAAGAAGTTTTTCCATCGAACTGAGGTGGTTTTATCCGAACTCGGCTCCCCTCCGGCACTGCTCCTTGTTCCGCCAGCATCATGGGTAAATTAACAGCTGTTAATTTACTATTTATTTCTTTTATTTTGAGTTCCAATTTATTATCCAATTCCATCCTAACGTCGTCAAATTTCTGCCCCATTTTCTCTTCCAATTCATTTACATTATCTAGAATCTTCTGTTCCAAATATTCTTTTAAATTTTTAGAATTTTCCAGAATTTTCTGTTGCAATTCGCTAGAATTTTCTAGCATTCTCTATTGTAAATCGCTAGAATTTTCCAACATTTTCTGTTGTAAGTCGTTGGAATTTTCCAGAATCTTCTGTTGTAAATCAATTTTCAAATCGCTAGAGTTTTCCATCATTTTCTGTTGCAAATCGACTTTTAGTTCTTTGGAATTTTCTAGCATTTTCTGTTGTAAATCGTTAGAATTTTCCAGAATGTACTGTTTCAAATCAACTTTCATATTTTGCAACAATAAATGCATATCACAGGAACCTTCAAATAAATACGTATCTGGATTTTCACCCTCTTGTTCCAACGCTTCTCGAAGCAGCTGCTGCCACACATTCTTTTTATCAGTTGTATCACATTCCCTTTCTTCTAGTCCGCCACTTTTAAGTCCATTAACGAAA